GATTATGCAGCTGGTCCTGGATAGATATTATTATTTCTATTTTTATTTCTGTTTTGCAGGAAATGCAAGCACAGAGCTGGTAAGAGGCGGCTAGAACATGGGAAGCTGGGATTTGGGCTCGGATTCAGTTTGGCTCGAGGGTGGGCGCTCTTAACCAGGAGTCTGGGTGATGTTTGCCTTTAGGAAGCCCATTCATAAGGACAGCGCCTCCTTTACTTACTCCAGGAAATAAAGCTGGCAGCATCCTTCCCCTTACCAGGGGGCAGGAGTGATTAGGTAGAATAACAGTTCCCCAAAGATGTCCACATCCTAATCCCCAAAACCTGTGGATGTCACCTTCCACGGCAGCAACACTCTCCCTCTAGGTCCTTCCATGTTGTGACAAATGACAGAATCTCATTCTTTTTTATGGCAGAGTAATAGTCCATTGTTTATATATGCCACATCTTCTTTATCCATTTATATGAAGGGTGCTCACGGTCACTTCCACGTCTTGGCAACTGTAAATAGTGCTGCTATGAACATTGCAGTGCATGTATCTTTTCAAATTAGTGGGGTTTTTTCCTGGATATATACCCAGGAATGGAATTGCTAGATCATATTGTAGCTCTCTATTTTTAGCTTTTTGAGGAGCCCCTATATTGTTTTCCACAGTGGCTGCACCAGTTGACAATCCCACCAACAGTGTACCAGGAGTCCCTTTTCTCCACATCCTCGCCAGCATTTGTTGTTTGGGGCTCTTTGAAGATAGCCATTTTGGCAGGTGTGAGGTGATATCTATTGTGATTTTGATTTACATTTCCCTGATGGTAAGTGATGTTGAGCACTTTTCGTGTGCCTGTTGGCCATCTGTGTGTGTCTTCTTTGGGAAAATGTCTACTCCGGTCTTCTGCCTATTTTTATATTAGGTTCTTTGGCCTTTTTTTTTCCTTTTTCGTTTTTTTGATGTTGAGTTGTATGAGCTGTTTATGTATTTTGGGTATTAACCCCTTATCAGTCATACTGTTTGCAAATATTTCCTCCCATTCAGTAGGCTGTCTTTTCCTTTTGTTGATGATTTCCTTTGCTGTGCAAAAGCTTTGACGTGCAATTAAGTCCCACTTGTTTATTTTTCTTTTGTTTCCTCTGCCTCCGGAGACAGATCCAAAGGAATAGTGCTATGATTTATATCAGAGTGTTCTTGCCTACGCTTACTTTGAGGAGTTTTATGGTTTCTAATCCTACATTTAGGCCTTTAATCCATTTTTAGGTTGCTTTTGTACGGGGTGTTTGGGAATGTTCTAATCTCATTCTTTGGCGTGTAGCTGCCCAGCGGCCCCAGCACCACTTATTGAAGAGATTGCCTTTCCCCACTGCACACTCCTGCCTCCTTTGTCATGTGCTAGTTGACCAGAAGTGTGTGGGCTTATTTCTAGTCTCTCTATTCTGTTCCATTGATCTTTTTTGCCTGTTTTTAGGCCAGTGTCATGCTGTTTTGATTAATGTAGCTTTGTTGACCAAATAATTTTGAATCACTTGCCTTCAGGTTTACTGATTCTTTCCTCGGCTTCATCAAGTCTGCTTTTGAACCCCATGAAGGAATTTTTCAGTTCAGTTACATGACTTTAGAATTCCTCTCCTAAAGGTGAAGTATAGTCCACACCCCAAATGACTTGTTTTGGCCAACAGAATGAGGAGAAAGAGACAGCAAATTAATTCTAAGTCTAGGCTCCAAGAGGCCTTGTGTATTTTCACTTGTCCTCTTGCACTTCTGCCACCGCCACCCGGAGGTAGTCCACTAGTCTCAGGAGGATGGGAGTCTCCCACCCTCAGCTGTAACTAGCCTACGTAGCTGGCGGCAGGCTGGCCCCCACATGTGAACAGGCCAAGATAAGCAGAGCCACCTAGCCAATCCTGAGATGATCTGAGATTTTGGGGAAATAAACACTTACTGTGCATCACTGAGGTTTTTGTGGCTGCTTGTTACACAGCATTATTCTGATGGATGACTGTTACATATGGTACCTAAGTGGTGTATGAAGCACACAGTAAGCCCACACATGTTGAGAAGAGACTGGTGGGGAGGGAAAGAAAAAATCTAAATCCAGAACATGTCACAATTCCACCAAGGATAAGACACTGCCCTCTTTATGATGAAAGCGGCTTGGTGTGACCCACTTGTCCCCAGATATCTGGCTGGTTGGAGGATGGACCTAGCACCAGTCCTGGCTTCCTTCTCACTCATGCCTTCCCGGGAGGAGTGACTTAATCCAGGTGAAGACTTTGGAAGGTAGAACATGCAGAGCCCAGTTCTCAGGAGCTGGCTTGTCTGCAGACAGCACGTTGTATCTTAATGTCTCTTCACCCCGCTGTGTTCTCCACTGAATCCCCAAGGATTAGTGTCTGTTTGGGTGAAACATCCCCTGGTTCTTGGAAGGTTTGTTTCTTTATCAACAGGTGGATTATCTATGTAAAACAGAAGTGTTCTGTGTAATGGAGTCCTTCCTCAAGGTCCCTGATGTCGTCTATCTATGAGACAGACTCAAGGAGGTTGTGACTCCAGTATGGTGGCCCTAGGCCACCTCTTTCAGACCTAGACTTCGGCTTATCTTGTTATATAAATCCTTTCGTGGGGGCATCACACCTACGAATCTGTATCAGGACTCCTCTCCCAGGCACACTTCCTTTCAAGAAGTGATCCCTTGTCAATACTTAGGTTTTACCCATCGCTGCGGACAGACATCAGAGAGCATTTCAAGCAGCCGCCCCTCCCACAGGTAGCTCCCCTACCCTCACCCCAACTTACTCTTGGGAGGGGGGTGGTGACATGAGGAATGTTTTAGAGGGTCTAGAGCTTCAGAGTGGCTTCAAAATTTCCAAGTCTCTCAGACACCACCATTCCAATAGCTGGAATCCTGTTTCCCTAGGTTGCCAAATTTTTTCTTTTTTTTTGCATTCTTTTTAATTGAAGTATAGTCAGTTTACAATGTTGTGTCAGTTCCTGGTGTCCAGCATCATGTTTCAGTCATCCATATACACACATACATTCCTTTTCATATTTTTTTCGTTATAGGCTACAAGATATTGAATATAGTTCCCTGTGCTGTACAGAAGAAACTTGTTTATCTATTTTATATATAATAGTTTATATCTGCAAATCTCAAACCCCCAATTTATCCCTCCTACCCCCTTTGCCCCACCCCGAGGAACCGTAAGTTTGTTCTCTATGCCCTTGAGTCTGTTTCTGCCCAAGCTTTTCATATTGGGAACAGGGCAGGACTACAGATTTAGCCGACTGAAGCCAGTGACCTGCAGGCTCAGGGTGTCTGTGGAAACCCTCCTGTACCTCTGACCTTGACACTCTTCACGGTCTTCGGATTTGTCTGTGACCGCGGCTATGAAGCTCTTCACACGGGGAAGCAGGTGACTCCGGACCGGGCGTTTTACTGCCATGCACCCTGGTCTCCTTGTGTCCCGTCCCAAGGCCCAGTGCTGAATCCGAAGCATCCCAATTTCCCAAAGGGTTTAGTATCCAACCCACTCTCTGGTCTCCACTTCTGTATCTGTCAGGGCTCTTCAGGGTCATAACTAACCAACTGTGGCCAGGTAAAGCATGTGAGGAAGAGCCTGGAAGGGTACGGGGTGCTCAGAGAATCAAAGGAAGAACCAGGCAGCCAGGCCTCAGGAAGAACAGTTCCCAGAGCGGCGCTGGGGGTCTGGGCAGCAGGAGCGAGGCCACGGGAACGACTTCGGCTCGGGGCCCCTGCCGGGCACCAGGGAAGGGCCGGGCACTGCGGCATTCCCTCCAGGCTCAGTGGCTCCCAGAAAGGAGACAGGATTCGGGGCTGGTAGAAACAGTGAAACCCACACCAAGAACACAGCCAGCTCGTGTGAGAGGAGGGTTATTTTGAGGACGCCGGAGTTCTTAGGGAGCCCATTGTGGGGCAGTTCAGCCAGAATCCACTGGGCACTGGGGTGGGTGAAGCACCAGGAACCAAGCTCCCCTCTGGCACAAGGCTCTTTCGGGGTGTTTGTTCAGCGGCACACCCAGCCCCAGCCTATGTGACCACCTGGCAGCCCTGGTCTGGGTCTGGGTCTGGGCCTGACTGGAACTGGGAACCACGACCACCAAACCTCAGAGAACCCCCGTGGCGGCAGGGGTGCACACAGTCCCCGCTCCTAGCCGAGGTGCGGGTGGAGAGAAGCACTCCCCAAGAGGGTAGGTGCTGGTCGGGCCACCCCATGACTCTCACTCCACTCCCTTCTCTGCTTCCTTTCACACTATAGTCTTCAAAGAGCGCTGACCCTCTCACCCCGACCTAGGCAGACGCCCCTTATCACAGAAGGACCCTCGAAGCTGTGACCACAGGCAAATGCCACAAGGGACAACCATTTTAACCTCAGGGAAGAGTTAGGGGCCGACACCTTAAACAGATTCCAAACCATAATATTAACACTTTTTTATGTTAAGGGGTCATTCTTGTTTGTCTTTGAGAGAATCTCTCATTTGAATGAAATAAAAATATAAAATGCAGACTTAAGTAACTGAAATATACTTGTGGTTATTAACTAGTTTAAAATGTGTATTGTACAGGAATCATATCACAATAAAGGTGTTAAAATTTTTTTTAAAAAATACTAACAACAAAAAAGTTTAAAAACACTCTTGGAATGTATGTTTTAATTTTTTTAGTGCAGTTAAAAATGCAGAATCATGTACTAAAAGATCCCTTGTAAGAAACTGTTGAAGGGGGAGGGTATAGCTATGTGGCAGAGTGCATGCTTAGCACGCATGAGGTCCTGGGTTCAATCCCCAGTGCCTCCATTAAAGAACAAACAAGGAGATACAAAAAGAAAGAAAAAATATTCAAAAAAGAATTGTTGAAATATGCAATAATTAAACATGGAGGAAGATTTCTAAGCCAAACTTAAAGGCCTAAGGAGAGACTAAGCTTTTGGATTTTTTAACAACCCCAAACACTTAAAATGCACAAAAGAAGAGGCTGAAGATTATCTTATTCTTAACTTTATTTTTATTGTTGACACTATTACAGATAGAACGACCACAACCATATTGACAAACCAAAAACCTGTGCACAGAAACAAGATGAAGTATGTCACGATGTTAACCACAGCCTTTGGATGATGAAAATATGGGTGAGTTTCTCTCCTACACTTCTGTAATGTCCACGTTTCTATAATGAACACATACTGTGTTTATAATGGAGATACACGTAATGAAGGCAGATTACTGAAACACTGTGATAAAGACCGTTCCAGGAAACCGAGACAGAATACTTAACCGCCACCCCACCATGACCACACAACCATTTCTCAACTGTTTCCCATATTTCTCCCCGTGATCCCCCATGCACACTCATCACCAATACCCCAATAATCTGACTGGTGCACAGGTCAAGGTGTTAACAGGAGTGACTGCTGGGGGTCGGGAATATGGGTGAATTTCTTTCCTCTGCTTTTACTGAATCTTCCCAGAGTTTGCCATGAGCATGTACTGTACTTGTAATGGAAAAATACATACAGAAGACTTAATACTGAAACACGAAAGATCATTCAAGGAATTTGAGACAAAATATTTAACCATAATCCCACAATGACACACTCTTTAATTACTTCCACATTTTTCTCATTTTAGACTTTATGCGCACACATCTAACACTGTCGCAATCACAAGCTTGTGCTCTGAAACAAGACGGAGGAAGCAGGCCAGGATGTTAACAGCGGTCGTTGGGTGTCGGAAATATCGGTGACTTGCTTTTTCTTTTTAAATTTATTTTGTATTTTCCAATTTTTCCTCTGGGTACATATTATGCTTGTCATGAAAACAAACATAATAAACTTTGTTACCAGGACACTACTGTAAGGAACATCTGAAGACACTAAGATGGAAGTGCTGAGCCACAGTTCCGCAAAGGCAACAGCCGTTCTGAAGACACGTTCTGACACAGTTACAAACCTGGGCACAGAAACGGGAACAAACAAGGGCTCGAAGAGTGTATCTCTTTGGATGGTGGGAATATGGATTTTTCTTTCCTCCACTTTTCTGTGTTTTCCAAGTGTCTGATAATGAGTTCAAATTATGTTCACAATGGAAACGTGATTATAAACTTTTAGTAACACTACCATAAAGAACATTGAAGAAGTTTAAGAAAATAATGCTCAACTAGAAGCCTACAACAGCAGCAACACAACAGCTTTTGACTATAAGCATTTTTAACAGTTATAACTGTAGTATAAATATAATTCTGTGTCCTGTTTTCTCCACTTCGTATTCCGTAAATATATTTCCACGCTGCTACATCACTCTTCATGATTATCACTTTTAAACAGCTGCGGAAGAGTCCACGGATGCCTTCACTTAATTGTTCTCCTATTTTTGGCATTTACAAGTTGTTCCTAATTCCCACGGACCTAAGGTTGGAACGGACACCCTGACATCTGGCAAGTCACCTTCTGAAGAGGTTCCACCCACGAATACCAGTGCCCACAGCGAGGAGCCCACATTCACCCTGACGATGCCCAGACTGGCTCCCACCTCAAGGGTCCTCCTCGCCTCCGATGCAGCCCCTCACGGTCCCTCCGTTTTCAGGGGTGTCGATTCCAACCTCAGGTCTGTCTATACAGCTGGCCTCGCCTACACCACACCATGAAAAAGGCCCCTTCTTCCAAACTGCCCAGTCATTCTCCCACCTGGCCTTCGGGTCCCTTCTGTCTACTTCCTCACCCTCCTGTCTGGCGCTGCAGGAGGACTCCCTTCTTTGGCGTACTCCCTCCCTCTCCTGCTCTCACCTCCCCCCTCCTTCAACTTTGGCCTGCCTTCCCTCCCTTCCTCCAGCTCAGACCCGCTCCACCTGAGCCCTAACCTTGTGGGTCCAGGAGAGTGAGATTCAGACACATTACCCCAGCAGGCATTTTAATTTTGCTCGCCCAAATGATCTGCTCGTAAATTTTTGCTCACTTAATTTACAAGATAAGATCCTCTTTTTTAAGTTTTTTTTTTAAATTAAAAAAATTTTTTTTTCCCAGCCAACTCAAAGCCAAAAAATTTCTTAACCGCCACTTACGCGACGGGAGGAGAAGCGAACGGCGCACAGACGGTCCAGCGCAGGACACGCGAAGCCACGAGCCGTGAGGGCAGCCTGGATCACAGGGGAGGCGGGGGCAGACACGCAGCCCTGCCGGGCCGCTGAGACACGCGCGTTAGCAAGGGGCGGACGGCACGAGACAGATTAAGGCTGCTGGGGAACCTGAGTCCACGTTAAGCTTGAGTTGACTGTAAAGAAAGTTTTTTTTTAATGCAAGTTAGGCAGGGGTTGAGGGTCAGACAGGTGAAGACGAGAGTTCAGTTCAACGCTAGAGAGCTCTAAGGGTGCCAGCCCCGGGGCACGCGGGGCGCGGACGGACTCGTGGCAGGACACACGGACGAAGCCGCATTCTACGGTCACTTAAGGCAGGAAGCGCGCGGAGGAAGTGATGAGAGCGGCAGCCTGCATCCTCATTTACAACGCCGAGCTTCTCCCTGCGGTTCTCAACCCTCATTAGGCACGATCGTGATCTAGTGATGGTTGCAACCCACTCTTTAAAGGCAAAGACGTAAGATTTACAGGGAAAAGCGTTAGCTTTTGTGAATTCACTACTGAACAACACACGTCAAGTTGGTTAAAAAAAGAAGTAACAAAACTTGTAATATTTTTGCACGAGAACCACTGCAAAGTACAAGGTGGCAACCGACCGATTTGGGGTTAAAAAAGGCCAATCCACAAACAGTAAAGGCTTACACAGCGTTAAGTTCCAAAGCGTCGGTGTAGACAGAGTGGCTGAAAAGGGCAAGTATTTTTCCCTTTTCAAACAGCAAAGTGTCAAAGACACCTCCTCTCTCATGCCTGCACCTCTACAGGAACAACAGTCAATTACTCACAGATACTGATGCGGTTCAAATAATGCACAATAAATCTTTCTAAGAATCTAAGATGCTTACAAATGTATTCTAATTTGGTGCTCTCTTCCTCTTCCAGAAAAAAAAAAAAAAAAACTAAAACAAAAAAACAAAAACTCAGAGAGCACCAGGCCAGGTACCTCTTCAAGTAAACTGTCACTGTGCACCATGGCGAATCCAAGTACACGTGGTTACTGGTTTGCTGTGATCTGCTATCTTACATACATCTCAGGAAACACTACACGTAGGTGAGAGGACTGTCATTTACAGATGGGGCAATTTCCGTAGCCTCGAAAAGCCCTCGGGTCTTCCCTCAATGTGATCACTCAAATGAAAGGTAAGGTGTGTGGGACGGCTTCCCCACACGCGTACGCCAGGCTGGATGGGGAAGAGCTGAGACCGAACGGTCTCCACCTTCAGTTTCTTTTCAGGCTGAGTTGTCTCACGTTCAGTCAGGTGTGTACACGCCAAGGGAAGCTCCCCACTGACATCACCGTGGGTTGGTTCCGGTGCTCTGTGGTTTAGTAAGGTCCAGTCCTAGGTGAAGGTTTCTGCCCTGGCCCGTGGCCTCAGCCAGTGTGGGTATTCTGGTGCCTGGCCAGGGACAAGCGATCGCCAAAGACCTGCCCGCAGACGTCACACGTGAAGTGCTTGTCATCGGCCCTGCCGCTGTCACCGGTGCTGGTGCTGGCGTGTTCGGTGTACTGTGAGCTTTCCCCGCAGACGTTCCCGGCCTCAAGCATGATCGCCCTGGCATGGGTTTTCAGGTGCTCCCCATAGGCCACGCTAGAAGTGAAGGTCTCCCCGCACTCCCTGCAGTCATAGTAGGGCTCTTCCACCTGAATCTCTGGGTCCTCGACTTCCTCTTCTGGGTCCTCGACCCCGGCCCCGTCGGGCTCATCCGCGTCTCCCTCTGGCTCTTCTGCCCTCTCCTCCGGGTCTTCAATCCCCGCGCCATCTGGTTCGTCAGCGTCCCCGTTGGGCTGCTCGGCCTCCCCGTTGGGCTGCTCGGCCTCCCCGTTGGGCTCTGCGGCCTCCCCGTCCGGCCCCTCAGCCTCCCCGTTGGGTTCGGCGGCCTCCACCTCGGGCTCGGCAGCCTCCACCTCCGGCTCTGCGGCCTCCACCTCGGGCTCAGCGGCCTCCACGTTTGAGCCCCGGATCCGCAGAGCCTCCCGGGGCACGAGCACGTTGGCCTCAACTTCCTGGGCTGCTGCAGCTGCTGCTTCTTCCTCCACATGGAGCTTCTGATGCTTTGTGAGGACCGTGCTGTGCAGGAAGGACTTCCCACAGTCCTTGCACTCGTAGAAGGGCGAGTCTCCCTTGGGCGGCTCAGTGAGGAAGGAGGTGTGGACGAAGGCGGCGCCATAGTCGTAAGGCTCCTCGCTCTCGTGAGCCTTCACGTGCTCCCGCAGGTCAGACGGGCTGGGGAAGGACTCCCCACAGGTCTCACACTGGTAGCGCCTCTCCTCGGCCGGGTCTCTCTGCAGCTCAGCGAGAGCTGAGCCTGCACCGACAGCGCCCCCGCTGCGCTGGCCGCGCTCCGGCAGACCCTCTGTGGTGTGCACACTCACGTGCTGGCTCAGGACGGAGCCGTGGATGAAGTCACGCCCACACACCTGGCACTGCAGGGACAGCCCGGCAGGAGGACTCTTCTGTGGGACCCGAGGCCTCGGGGGGCTGATCACCAAGGGCTGCACTAAGGGCTCATCATACCTCTGGCGGCCGTAAAACTGATCTTGCTCGTGGACCCTCTGATGCTCAAAAAGGAACGAGCTGTGAACGAAAGACTCTCCGCAGGCCGGGCACTCATACAGCTGCTCCCCAAGGTAGTCCTTCTGGAGCTCGCCGAAGGGGTGGGCGTGGCTCACGGAGCGCGTGTGCTCACGACTGTCGACCACATACTCTCGACCGTGGACTCTCTGGTGGTCCCTGAGGTCTGCGCGGTCCGCGAAGCCCAGCCCACAGTCCTTGCAGCCATAGATGGAGTCTTCAGCCTCCTCCTGCTCATCATCTGGCTCCTCCGGCTCGTCTTGCCGAGGCTCCTCCCGCTGAGGCCCATCGAGGCCGACACCCTGAATGACAGAGTCTCCAAACAGCTTCCCGCTGTGGAATTTCTCTTGCGCGTAGATTTTCTGATGCGTGCCAAGGTCTTCAGTGGTGGCAAAGCACTCCCCACAGTCCTTACATTCATTGCGCATGGGCTGGTCCACATAACTGGCCTGAGCTGGTTGGCCAGCATAACTGGTCTGAGCCGGTGGTTCAGTGTAACTGGTCTGAGCCGGTGGTTCAGCGTAACTGGCCTGAGCCGGCTGGTCTGCGTAACTCGCCTGAGCCGGTGGTTCAGCGTAACTGGCCTGAGCCGGCTGGTCTGCGTAACTCGCCTGAGCCGGCTGGTCAGTGTAACTGGTCTGAGCCGGTGGTTCAGCGTAACTGGCCTGAGCCGGCTGGTCAGTGTAACTGGTCTGAGCCGGTGGTTCAGCGTAACTGGTCTGAGCTGGCTGGTCTGCGTAACTGGCCTGAGCTGGCTGGTCAGTGTAACTGGCCTGAGCTGGTGGTTCAGCGTAACTGGCCTGAGCCGGCTGGTCAGTGTAACTGGTCTGAGCCGGTGGTTCAGCGTAACTGGTCTGAGCTGGCTGGTCTGCGTAACTGGCCTGAGCCGGCTGGTCTGCATAACTGGTCTGAGCCGGTGGTTCAGCGTAACTGGTCTGAGCAGGCTGGTCTGCGTAACTGGTCTGAGCTGGCTGGTCAG